TGTATAGTTACCATTAAAACATTTATTTTTGGGGTCCTATTTAAAAAAAGGAGGATTTTGCCACTTCTGTAATTCAAAGTGACATCAAAAACCACAGATCCCTTTGCTATAAATGTCAGTTGTGTATCAATAAGCTGCTGGGTCATTTTAGTACAAATAACTCCACATGATATTATGATACATTCATGATTTGTCATAACTTTAAAAAAATCTTGTGTCAAATCAGCTTAGATTCACAAATGTGTTCAGATGAGTTTCTGCTGAATAATCTAATCTCTTTCTATGCATCAACTCAAATTTTTAGTTTAAATGAACTCAAAATATTAAGGCAAGCAGGTTAGGCTACATAATTTAAGTTAAAACAACAAACCATTTTTACATTGTGATTGTGTTTTTAATAATTTCTGTGCCTGATTTTAATCTAATGCTACATCCACAACAATGTTTTAATAAAGAAAAAAAACATTTTCAAATAAAAATAACATTTTCTAATGTATGTCTTCATGTTCCATTTTCACTGTAGGAAAACAACTGTATTGTGATAAAAGTTGGACTTAGCAAAAAAAACTTTACAGTGGATGGGAAACCGTCTTGTATTGCTCCCGCACCACATTGTTCCTCCCTTGTTCCATGTAGTTACAGTGAAAATACAACAGTTGCGGTCTGTAAATTAAAGTGGTGCTTGTTACCTCCTTGTTCCATGTAGTTACAGTGTAAATACAACATTTGTGGGCTGTAATTTAAAGCGGTGCTTATTCCCCTCTTATTCCATTTAGTTACAGGGTAAGTGGCTACAACAAATGGTTGAGCTTAGCAGTGCTCCCCTCACTCTAGAGGGTCGCCTATGAGCATGCTGCTCCCAAGGTGAGTGTTTGAGTTCCCCTCTGATTTTTGAAAGTTGAGTACTCCACTCCCTTGAGCTTCGTGAGGCACCCATACCAGGTTAATTGAGCCTCCCTGACGGCTGCCTCAGTGTTTGAGCCTGGCAATGCACCCATCATTACAGGGTCACTTATGAGCATGCTGATCCCCGGAGCTCCCATCATGTGACTGCCTTTATGGTTGAGTTGGTGGTGCTCCCCTCAATTGGAGGGTCTCCTATAGGGCTGGGTATCGAGTTCGATACTTTTTAGGCACCGACTGAATTGCCTCGATACCATCCAGTATCGAAAAACATCTCGTCGTTTGTTACCAAATTTCGATACCTAAGGGGTTAATCTTATCAGCGTCAGTGAGCCAATAAGCCTGCAGCACTAGCCGGTGTGTTCGACTAGAAGTGGAGCGGCGCAGATTGATCAGTGTTTGACATCCGCAAGAGCGATTAGAAAGCACACGGAGCAGTCTGCTCTCTATAGCGCTCATGGTACTGTAATACACTGATCGGTCTGCACAGTCGGTTCGCGCCAAGTCGAACACACCTACTAGTTCACACCTACACTAGCTACACTTGGAGATGTGGCGCACACGTGAGGCTGTAGTGTGAATGCGTCCCAGCCCCCTTAGATGTAAGACTACATTTACACTGGTGCGTTTTTGTTTTAAAATGAAAACGATCCTCGTCATACTGGCATTTCCACTGTGTTTCAAGCCGGCTTTCCACTATCTCCGACAAACGACAAGCGACAGACCAGAAGTCATTCTGCGTGGAGTTCCGATCATATTCAGACGTCCGTTCATTCATACTACACGACCGAAAGCGTGTTATGTGACCATTCATGCACACTGTAGCATCATGCTACATAAGACAATAAATAAGATTTGTATCCTCTTTTACATATAACTCACTTTAAACCACCTTTGAGTTTTTGTAATAACTTCCAATTGCCATCTAATCTGTGTTTTTGGCCATGTAATGTTCCTGAAATTAAATATGTTATTACCTCTGTCAGAGCAGCGATCATGGAAGAGAGAACACAGCGATTCAAGGTATCGAAGTCGGTATCGTTCAGGAACGATATCGGTATCGTTATCTAAAACTTTTGAACGATACCCAGCCCTAGCCTCCTATGACTACGCCACTTCTGGTGCCCCATCATGCGCATTTCCAAGCATATGAGTTCTCCTCTCACTCTGAGAGTTGAGTACTCTGCTCCCTTGAGCCTGTGAAGCAGTCATACCAGGTTGCTATTCCTTCCTTTTGGCCCCCTGTTGGACTGTGAGCAATAGTGCCCCTCCGTGGCTTGATGGGTCATCTTGAGCATGTTGCTCTCAGGAGCTGTTATGCACAAGGGTCAAGTATGTGAGTCCTTTTCTTAATCCAGGAGTAGAGGTCCTTAGGTGCAAAGAAGCTCCATAAGGCAGTCATACAGGTCGCTAGGCCTCTTTATGGCCTCCACAATGGCACTGAGTGCTTTCTAAAATCCATGTTTATGGTAAGTGCACACACTGAGCATTCTGTGCACTTTCTAAAATCCATATCTATGGTAAGGCCTGTCAAAATTTTACGGTGAGGGTTTCTTGCTGCCAGCATCATACCCTTTCTCAGAGTTGTTCAGGTCCTGGTTCTCGCCTTGGGCCCCACTCTTCATATGTATCTTTAGTGATACCATTAAAGTCTCCCATCTGACTGCGGGGGTATTTGCTACCAGCTCGAGGAATCTGGTGAGAGAGATTCTACGAGGAGTCCCCCTGGGAGAATTAGGGGTAGATGTATTAGTCCCCCTATTTGACAGGCCAGGGTCTGGTAATATGATGAAACCTAGATGGTTGGAAATATCCCCTTAAAGGAATCACTATGCTATCTGATTCCAAGCCTTTGAGCTCTGCCCTGGGACCGGGTTCTCTTTTGCTTTGCAAGTTATTTTTGGTGTGTAGCTCAGGCCTTTGACCGAAGGGGATAGTGTCACTGACAGCCGCTGATGCATCCAAGGGATGGCTCCCATTGCTATGGTAGAGTTGGTACTTGGTGCTCGCCTTGGTGCTTGGCATGCACTCCCCTGAGTCTTCTGTGGAATAAGTACACCCCTATGTTTACTAACTGGTCGACATTGGGAGAAATTACTTCTTCTGTAGCGTTTCTTATAATTGTCTATCAGTCTCTTACATTGACTAGGAGGCATTTTTGCCCCTTCCTCCATGGAGAATTCCTTTGTGTGATACTGGAGGGGTTCCCTTCCAAGGAAACTTCGAACTGCGTCCTCTAGGGTCGCTATGGGGAACGCCTTCAGTGTGACCGGTGTCTGAAGCATATATCTAAAAACGACAATGACATTGGCCGGCGACAGCCTATGACGTCATTACCCTGCGCAATACAGTATAAAAGGGTGCCGGGATTACACATCATCCTCTTCTTGTATATCCCCATAGCGACCCTAGAGGACGCAGTTATGGTTACATACGTAACCTGAGACGTTTTATAGTTATACTAAGCTTTGACATTTTTCAGACTAAGAACAGTATTGCTTGGCAAGAAAGTGGGTAAATTTTATTTATATAGCACATTTAAACACAGCGAAGCTGACTAAAGTGCTCAACAGAGAAAAACCCAAGTCCAACAGAATAAAAAAAAGAGATAAACATAAACATAAAATATAAAATAATAAAAACAATAGGACAACTTAAAGTGTCTGGGAATAAAGATATGCTTTCAGCCTATTTTTTTAAATGGTAATGGAAAAAATGTTAAATTGAATCCTAAAATGGACCAGGAACCAATGGACTGATGTGGGTAACAGGGTCATATTTCTTTGCACTGGTCAACAGGCTTGCAGCAGCATTCTGATGCATCTGGAGGTGAACAAGGGATGAATGAGGAAGACCCAAATACAATGAGTTACAGTGTCTAAACATGATGTAATGAAAGTGTGAATAACCTTCTCCAAATCTTTAAAAGACAAAAAATGGTTTATGTTTGGAAATAATTTGTACAAAATAATTGATTTGCTTGGTTAAGCAAAATTCTGAATCCAAGATGACACCAAGTTTCTTACCTTTGAAAAAATTACAGGAAAATGAATACAAAACTCCCTAATAAGATCATCTTTCAATTTTGGGGGACCAAAGATAATTTCAGTTTTGTCTTCATCAAGTTGGAGAAAGTTATTTGACAACCATTTCTTAATGTTCTTGAGGAAAATGTTGAAGGTCAAGACAAAGGTCGAATGGAGATGCTAGGCAAATAACGGCAAATGTATTATTACATTTTTATTAATAAATGATTAATACATATTTTTACTATTAAAATTTTAATGGCAAATAAATCTGAGTATCATCAGCCTAAAAATGAAAAGAAACATTGTGCCAAATAATAACATTTCCAAAAGGTAATATAAATAAGTTAAAAAAGAAGCGGACCCAAAATGGAGCCCTGAGGTACTCCATTAATAATAGGCACTGAGGATAAGAAAAACTAATCCAACAGAAAAGGACCTTTAAGATATGAACTAAACCTAAAGAAGAATATTATGATCAATGGTATCAAAGGCAGTGGTAAGGTCTTGCAACACCAATACAGCAGTTTTACCAGAATCAACTGCAAGTAAAATATCCTTGGAGACTTTCAGCAACACATACTCAGTGCTATGATTAGCAGTGAAACCTGAATGGAATGGTTCAAATGGTACAGCATGAATGCACGTTTTGTGTGATTATTGGGACATGGCCAAATAGCATCACAAGTGTTTGTGTTGCCGGAAATCACACATTGAAAATGAATGAGTGCAGGTTTTTTGTCACTGCACTCTGCTGTCAGTGTGAATGACCAGAACTGAGAAACTATAGAGTGGTTCTGTTTGGCCCTGCACTTAAATACAAGTGGTTGAGACTGAATTGAAAGGACCTTATTACTGCCCTTGACTGATAGCAATCCTACAAAACAGTTACTAAGTGACCACTAATCATTTGACAGGTGTTGGAGATATTGCAAGAGAAAATGAGCCAATCAGGACAGCTGAGGATGTCGTCATCACAGAATAAATTCTCCTTTTTATGGCTTGAAATGAAGAACACGTTTTATAAACCATATTAGAAGGCTTTAAAACAAAGCAAAAACACATTTTTATTAATGCATGTTTATTATTTAGCAAATTACAACAATATAGCCTAAAGACAGAAATTCTAAAGCACAGATGCCTCATTTATAAATGATGTGAATAACTGCATTTGCTTCATTTACAACACAAATACTAAATTATTTGCTTTTTGCAAAATTACTACTAAGGAATGGCTATTGATTCTCCCTGTGGTCCGTTGTACTGATGCAATGGTGGGTTTTTAAAAGAATGTCCTGTAAAAAGAGTGACAAATATAAAAATCAAATTCATCTGACAGATATTTAAGAGAGGGTTGGTATCGCACATTCACACAAGGGTTGAAGAAAACAAGGTTGCACACATAGTAAAGAAACAGACTTAAATTAGCAGGTTACTATGTATAAAACCTATAAATAAACAGAAGAATATGCCACTCCATTGGTTCACAGAATTTGAAAATAATGCTCGAAAGAATAGTTCACCCAAAAATGAAAATTCTGTCATCATTTATTCACCCTCATGTCATTCCAAACCCATAAGACTTTCATTCATCTTCAAAACACAAATAAATACATTTATAATGACATAGTGTCTCCTAAGAAGACTTGGATTAAACAGCTTGATTCATGGACATTTAATGGAATGGACTTTCAATGGGGAAACAGAAATCCACCTTTTGTGTTTCAAAGATGAATGAAAATCTTATGGGTCTGGAATGACTTGAAGGTCAGTAAATGAAAACAGAATTGCATTTTTGGGTGAACTATCCTTTTAAAAGCACAATTACTATCTGCTGCAACCACCACACCATTACCGGTGGCGCAGCAATAAGTGCTTTCAAACACAAATGTTGTTTTCATGAGCATCTGTATTCATCCGTCAACTGTTTTAGTTTCAAAGATTGTTTCTGGGGAACCAATGGCAGTATCTTTTCATGAATCCATAAACAGTAGTGCTATAGACATTTACAGTAACATGCAGTAGCAAAACCGATCAAAGCAGCAATAATCAATGCACGAGTCATGACATGTAACAGTCCCTTTGAACAACATCAATCAGAACGACTGCATAGCCTTGTCAACAAGAGTATTGACTATTGCATAACTGAATCATTAGCAGAGGAAATCCCCAACTGAAAACATCTGGGTGGGTTTCTAGATTGACAAAGAGATTGTCACATGTACATGATGCACACTGCAGAATGGTATGGATGGGTTTGGGGGGCTTTTACCACTGGGCTAGTGGCGATCAGGTTAGGGCATGGGGGGTCCTCATCTGAAGGACGTAGCCCTGTCTGTACACAGGGGCACTGCCTTGGAAAACCTTTTTCTTTGCAGTGGGTCTGACTGATGCTGCTTTAGGGCTGAAGACATACAGCAGATGGCAGGTTCACTACTGAGAGCCATTTACACCACTGACTGCTTTTTTTCATTGGGGGTTAGGAGACAAGCAACATAATGCACTGAAATAAATTGAATGTGGGGGACAGTGGAGCTGTCATTGTGTGCGGTCACATATCATGTGTTATAAGAAGCAATGCAACTATACGTACACTTCATCTTCATATTCCTTCGGTGGAGACACTGCGATGACCAGGTCAATCCAGTCCTGCGAGAACATGCATGGAAAAATGTCAAGCACATGCATATGAAGGTTTTAATGTTTGATAGTGTTCTTCCAACCCAATCTTGTGGGAAAATGTAGCAATTTTACATTTTAGTGAATTTGTGGTCAGTTCATACAATTTTTACTAAAAAAAACTAAACATGAAGGTCCAACCCTAAACCAAAAACTCACTGGGGCGTAAACAGATTGTATAAAAATGAACAAATTCATACAATTCATCAAAAAGTAAATTAGTCACAAACTGTCACCCAGGTGTGTGGATTCTTCTGTAAAATCTTGAAGAACAAGGAAAGAGCACATGGGCTATGATAAAATGACATATTACAGTAGTCTAATATTAGTATTTTAGCTTGTTTTTTAGCCAGAAGCAACGGTTTAAAGTTAAAAATGTCGTAATATTGGATTTGTTTCTTACAAACACAGTTTTTTGCTTCATTAGATGTTAATTGATGAACTGAAATTGTGTGGACTACTTGTAGATTATTGTGTTTTTATCAGCTGTTTGGTCTCTCATTCTGTCGGCACCCATTCACTGCAGAGAATGCAAACCATTTGGCTCCAATGAGTTGTATGGCCTTCTTCACCACAGGACAATCTGTTGAGACAGATCATCTGATTTACAGTGATAGGTTGTTTTATTGTAATGCCAGTCATACCCCTCCACTGTTCCAAGCCTGAGCCAATGAGTTTTGTCCTTCAGCTAAAGTCACATCCGTCAGGATCTTTGCATTCACAGCCATGATCTCATCACCTGACACGACACCACCTGAGATAACATGTACAAAAAATATCAGTAACAAACAAAGCAGGTCATTTTAAAACACAACTAAATGTTTTTAAGTCAATATAATAAATATCACTAATGAATGTAGAGAGCTAAACTAGATTTTTGCATGATATTTGCATGACAGTTTTAGAGTGTTTCTGAGCAGTTGCTGTGGTTTTTGGGGTGTTTTCTAAAACCTTAAAGTCAAAAGAACCTAGCCCCAAATCTCTATTATACGTTATGTTTGTATGACTCACCATGTTTATCTGCCGCACCTCCCTCATAGATGGACGATACCACAATCTTTCCCAATGGGGAGTCGATTCCTCCCTCTATGGCCAGATCAAGCTTCCCTTCCTAAAGAATGCGTATAGAATAAAACAAATCTTTAATTTTTAATGTCCAATGACATATGTGGCTCACATTTCTGTTCTACCTAAATTACCTTCTTAATTCTCAAAAGTCGTACATCTCTGCCAGCTATCTCCTCAGCCGTGAACTGTTAAAAGTTTGAGCAAATGTGGTGAAAGGAATACTCCAAAGAGGAGCATTTAGTGAGTGTGGAATATATGTGCTATGCAATATAAAAATAGCAAATGGGTACAGAGACAAACTGTTAATGTGAAGAGTTACAGTACCATGGAATATGGATCAAAATCATCCACATGTTTTTGAAATCCCTGTAAAACAGAAAGCAGAAACAGACAGTGGTGTGTATAGTCAGTAAAAATGTGAAGTGGCAATCTGAGGAGTGAGGACTGAGCAGAAACAAATTAGTGCTCATTGTTTTCAAAGAGAAGACAAATGAACACTAATTGTCATCTCTATTCCAATCAATGGCAGCTTCTACTTACTCTTAATAAACTATTCAAGGCAAAGCCAGATCTGTGTTTAAAAACATGCCTTATTAGTTTGGCATGACCATTAAATCAATCTATAAAAAGCATCTGATCTTTAAAGGTGCACTCAGTTACTTTAAAACATTTAACATGTAAACAATCTAATAGTATTTTTTTTTTAGAGATATGTTTATATATTAAATGTGTGACCAACTATTTTTTAAATACAAATCTGAACAATATACTGTATAAAGACAATAAACAGATGTATCATGATATTAGAAACAGTACAACACATTGCATAATTTTCTACAGTACTGTACGACATGGTAAACATATTTAATACTGAGAAAGGATGTGTTTGCTTTGTTGGATCCATTGGTAGCTTTCCAGTTGGTTCTGGATCTGCAATGATGTTTACATACAATATAAAGGCTTTTCCCCATTCGCTACACACTCAAAACCACTGGCATTCCATCAAGACAAATAATCAATTAAGATTTAACCCCCACAGAACCAACAAAATGGAAAAACACAGACTTCTGGTCATGCTCTCCCTCATAAAAGATGAAAACGTACACCGAGATTCCATTTGGTGCAGAGGCAATCTAATATTATATAACCTTCAGTTGGAGTCTCCCATTTGTGCAGTGCATATTAGATCCACTTAAAGGCTGCTTTCACAGCAAACAAGATTGCATGAGAATATATAAGTGTGACTGAAAGACCAGTTCAGTACGATGGAAAGGTGAAAATATAATGTCTTAACCGAAATAAGCACAATATTGCAATCATACACCTGATGTCCTTGAGTATTAAAGAGATGTTTACAACATAAATGTTAAACACAAGAAATTAAGTAGACATTTACCAGAACAGAACAGAATAAAATCTACACTACTCGGTACGTAACGTAATCTCGGTTCCCTTTCAGTACAGTTTACTTGCACTGGGTCAGTTGCTGACACTTTGGGGAATGCAATCCTATAGCGCCATGCTACAAGCACAGAATGAAGAACCCACCCTGCAAGCCCAGCCTATGGGCAGTCGGGAATGAGGGCCCTAGATAAACTGCTAAAAGCCCATACTGGGGCAGAATTGCTTAAAGGCGAGAAGAGTCAGGTTTTAGGCTGACTAGGCCAAAACCACTAAGTCATGCCGTATAGACCACATGACGAGGGGTGCTGGTCCTTGTGGGAAACCAGTACCAGGGAATCCTTTTGCGCTGTACTCAGCTGAGACCGCAGTCAGAGCCATAATCTGCTGCTGGGGCTCTTCCATGACGAGCAGGAAGGCTTCTTCATATTCTTATTTGTCTTTGGAGTCAGCAAGGAGATGATCTTCGCACTGAAGGAGAAAGAGTCTGATGAAATGGCATCCAGCACCAACTTATATAAATGAATGGCTTCACTTGTTTTGGTGGGCTGAAAAGCCATTTGTTCATGCACATGCATAAACATGATTCAATGAACACTGAATTGAGCTTCAGTATGTCAGAGAAATTGAGTTTCCCCAAAGCATCAACAACTGACACAATGCGAGTATTGAAAGGGAACTAGTTTTAAATTGCGTCAAGGATACATCTGACCAATATCCTCCGGGGAAATATTGTTAGAAATGTAATATACACACTCAAACAGCTGAGACTTCACTCAAAGAAAAGAGAGGTGTTGTAACTAAGTAATGATGGCAGTTACTTGTTTTTTGCTGGATTTAAAGGACGTGTTGTACGTGACCATCCGTTTGAGCATCTCTGGGGGCTGAAACACATATTTATGACTGGCTCTTAAAAACACAGCACAATAACACACACACACACTAAATGCTTGCACTCATCACATGCCATAAAAAGATTGCCCTCAGTGTGGTAAATTATCTATGAATTCAGGTGTCTGTGAGCTTTACAAATACAACGATTGCACTGATTTCCCATTGCATAGAGTGCAGTAAAGATGGTGAGGTGATAGAGTATTGGATCCTTTGAGAGAAAGGACACATGATTCTTTATATTAGCGTGAAAAAAATAAGACCGATCATTAGGCTTTAGCAAAGGTTACATTATTTTTATAATCACTAGGCAAATACTTTGGTCACTTTTTCAAAACTCTTCACACAGTTCTCCTTACCAACTTTCATAGCAGTATATTTCATATCTAATACGCACTACAACTACCAAAACACTTCATACGCATCAATTTAATCTTCTATAACAATAGCATAGGTCGACAATTTATGCAATTTAAAAATGTAGTAATTTAATGTATTTTGTGCCGAAACAATGGAAATGGTCCACAGTTTAGCCCACATAGATGTCTGTTGTGCTCACTATGTGAAGTGAGGTGAGGTGTGGTGACCTAAGTATTGAGAAATGGATCCTAGTGATTAAAAAAAAAAACTGTTATCTTGATCAAATCTCTAACCCTGAGCCTCAGCAAAAACCTTTAACAATAATACATAAAGGCTGAAGAGACACATTAAGGCAACAAGGTCTTGTCCTTTCTTGCCCTTCTTGTTACCCCTCTAAAACAACCACAAAATTGGCAAGCACCCATTTATTTAATTAAGGAGGCACAAGGACAGGGCAGAGCGATTAGCTTCTTTTGTGATGTGATGGAGCAGGACTGACTATCTGGAGGAAGAAGGGGACAGCAGGTCTAGGTCTGTCAGGTCGATCAATCAAAGACATTTTAATGCTGAAAGTCTCATGGTGTACGCAGATAAAAAAAAAAAATCTCCATTTCACCTCTCTCCCCTTCTGTCCTTCTGTTTCCGCCTTCTTAATCAGTGCAATCAGTAAAAGCAACATCTGTTTGTTCCTCTTGAGTTTGAAAAAACCTCATTACAATCAGTGAGTCAAACAGCAATCCAACCAATGTGTATCGTATGCATGCATCATCATCGCACGTACACACATGGGTATTTGCCATCTTACCATGGTCTCAGAGTGAAGTGTGGGTCTATGTGAGGTCTGACTTGGTAGCATGACGGGTTTGGACATGACAGGGTTGATCTGTCTCCGCTGGTTTGGAGGGCTGGGAGCAATTTGCTATGTAGAGGTTAGCAGTAAGGCACACAAACTTAAGGTCAGGGCACGATCTACTTTCAAGAGTTACGCAATCTAAACCACACAGCACAAGACCTTCATATAGCATAAATACTGAATTGCAGCTTTCATGTTCAACAAAAGATGATTTTCATGCAAAATAGGGCTGGGAGCAATTTGCTATGTAGAGGTTAGCAGTAAGGCACACAAACTTAAGGTCAGGGCACGATCTACTTTCAAGAGTTACGCAATCTAAACCACACAGCACAAGACTTTAGGAACCCTTCATATAGCATAAATACTGAACTGCAGCTTTCATGTTCAACAAAAGATGATTTTCATGCAAAATGTCAGTCATTATCTTTCTAGTAATGATGACTGTTCTGTGAAATGGCTTTTTAAATTATATTACTGCCCAAGTTAATCCTAAGCATAGAGGAGGTATGCATATCTATAAAACAGTTAAAAGAGTTACGGTTTTATAACTCCCCCTCCCCCCACAGGTGAAAAGGTACATATTTATACCTTATTTACCCCTAAATGGTACGTACATAGTACCTTAAAGGAACATATTAGTGCCTGAAGTGCACATATTGGTACCTAATGAAATGGTACCGCCCCAGTGACAGTACTCTATTTTTTGAGAGCGTATAAGATATGTGCCAACTATATTCAAGTAGAAATGCACTTCCTGTAGGTTGTGCCAGAGTAATCTCCAAATATAGACATGGAGAGCTGTTGGAAGATATTTTCTCTTCAAAGAGATGCTAGTTTGCATTAAGCTGACATTAAATGAGATGTTACACAAGCATGGCAAGTCTGATTTGTGCTAAAAATGGAGCAGAAGACCCAGAGCAGCATGTACCATTTACAAACTGAGGACTCACCAGTGGATTATTAGAGGTGGATATCCTGCTAGCATGAGATGTGTTTCTCATCACCTGAGTCACAAGGATAAAGTATTCAACAGTCTAACAGTGATAGGAATCACTACCACTTCAAGATCATCAAACCGAATGACAGCATGCTTTTTTCCCAAAATGATTATCTGTTTCCTGACAAATAACTATAATAAACTACTAATGGTTAACCTCATCTGAAAAACACCACACTTAAGGCATACACGCATGTATGTACAACATAAGAGGTGGGTAAAAAAAACAGGTAGATTGCAGTGTTCACTTCAGTGAAGACAGCAATATTCGTGTGACATGGAATCAATTTTGGAATCGAATTGGATTTAAATGTGATGTGCCTAAAGATTCCCACCCCTATACAACATACATAATCAATTCTCACACTGCCAAATGCATTAACTATGCTAACCGTCAGGTTGTGGTCAGACTTCGGGCTGGGTGGGTGTGAGAGATCACTGGGAATGGTGGAGTGGAAGCCCCCTCTCTGTCGGTAACCATTGTCCCCAAACCTTCTTCCCTGTTCAGATAAGCTTGGGGAGCGGGGATAGTTGGACGACCCTACATGGTACTTGTCCTCCATGTGCAGGGGTGGAGGAGGTGGTGGAGGAGGAGGCGGTGGTGGTGGAGGAGGTGGTGGCGGGGGAGGTGGCTGAGATGTGGACAGACCCCTGGAGGAGAATAGTGGGGTGGCAGGAGGTTGTCGGCTACGACCTATTGAGGAAAGGGGTACCCTTGAGGCTGGTGGAGAAGGTGGGCGTTGAGGGGCTGGTCTAGGACTGGGTTGCATTGGGAGCTGTGTTCTTGGAGAAGGAGGCCGATGGTTGGATGTGTGGTAAAGACGGGGTGAGGGTGGAGGGAGTGGTAAGGGAGGGGGAGCTTGGTTGGATGTAGGTGGGGTTGGGGAAAGTCTTTTCAAAGGTTGCCTTAGACTCTGGTCCACATCATCTAAGTTGATGTCATCAAGGTCAGTAGTGGCCAAGGTCAAGCCTCCAGGGAACCTCCGATTGGTGGGACCAGTTGATGCAGGGGAACGGGTTGGAGACATCTGAAGTTACATTTTAATTGCTTAGAACTCTGAATGAACAAACTATGGACTAGAAGACCAGCACACATCAGGATTTGAACTGGACAGATTTTACCTCTGAAGAATCATTTTCAACTGAGGAGATTTGCTCTAATCTGGTTTGACAGAGCCTCTCCACCCAATGCTGCACCTTCTCCGACTCTTCCAGATCTTCCCTCTCAGTTTCTGACACCTGGTTGAATTAGTAAAGCCACATCCAAACATGGAAACTTTGATATACCAATGAGAACTTGCTGGACTGCCACTGGAAAGGGTACAACTGTTCACATGGGTACATTCGTGCAATAAAGGTCAAGTGCCAAGGAGACGGAATCAATTACACACAATTAAAAAGGGATAATTCACCCTAAAATGAAAAATTCTGTCATTAATTACTCACCCTCATGTCATTCCAACCCCTAAGACTTTCATTCATCTTCGGAACCCAAATTAAGATATTTTTGATGGAATCCGAGAGCTCTCTGACCCTCCATAGACAGAAAGGATATTACCATGATCAACACACAGAAACGTAGCAAGGACATCGGTAAAATAGTCCATGTGACATCAGGGGTTCAACCGTAATTTTACAAAGCTACGAGAATACTTTTTGTGCGCAAAGAAAACAATAATAACATAATTTATTCAACAATTCTTCTCCCCGAGTTATTGTCTTCCGCCATTTTGGAGAGTACCCCAAAACGTAATCAACGTAATCAGCGTTGTTTACGTTCAGCATTCTACTGAACATAAACAACACTAAAAATAACGCTAAAAAATATCTTAATTTGTGATTCGAAGATGAACGAAGGTCTTACTGGTTTGGAACGACATGAGGGTGAGTAATTAATGACAGAATTTTCATTTTCGGGTGAACTAACCCTTTAAACAAGGAGTACAATCTGAGTCAGAAAACCCTCCTGTAACCTCACTGGAAAAAGTCTGATACCTCTTGAAGAAGTCTGCTGATTTTCATCTGCTTTTCTCGCTCAAGTATCTCTTCCTTCTCCTTTGCAAGTTTCAGCTCAAACTCCATCTCTTTCTTGTTCTTTTTCTCAGCTGGGAGAGTGTCAGTCTTGGACATCTTCTTCTTCTTTTTGGTCTCTTTTCCTTTCTAAATATCCAAAGTGATTTGAGAACACCTGGTGGACTTTGCACCAAGGTCAATCCAACTTCCATGCAAACCATAACTTCGGGCATATCTCCAAGATGAACAACATATTCCATAGTTCTAGCACACCAAACAAGCACAACATGCTTGCACACACAGAGTACCTTTTTGAGTGTAGGCAACTTTCCTTCGTAACGGTAGAACCAACCGAATGCTAAGAGAGTAAGAATGATACATTAAGTCCAATGCAAAAACTCAACCATGATATGGTGTATTCTGCAGATTCATCCATCTAAAAGCTACCAAAAGATCCAACCAAACAAAATAACAAGGAAGATAGTCTACATGCAGTTGAAGTGTCTCGAAAAAGGGTAAGTTTGTCAAAGGAAGTCTTTGTCTGTAAAGCCATCTGAATTCTTTACTTACTTCTCCGATCTCTTCTTCATCAGACTCAGCAGCTGATGGAACCAGGAATTGATAAACAAGGCACAACAAGAAGGTAAAAGATCAGACAGAAAGACAAAGATCACACAAAGAGATGATGCATTCCCAACATAAATGCACATCTGTTCATGCAGAGGAGAAAGTAGCAACATCAATGCAAAGTGCATTATGGGTACCTTTTGGGAAAGGGTAACATGTTGTTTGATCTTTAGAGAATAATGTAGTTCTACAGAGGCGTTCAAAGTTCATGGAGATGTTTTGTAGGTATTGTCAACTTACTGGACGTTTTGGGTTTGGGTGAAGGTGCATTACGTGCAGGTGGTGGGGGTGAGGGAGAGGGGGAGGGGGAAGGAGATTTGGATTTTTCTTTGGAACCCCAATCTTCTTCCCACTCTTTGTGGTGCTTCTTTTCCGCGGCTTCAATTCTGAGACACACGACACATACATTCAATGGACATCTATCCTGACAAGCCTGCTAAATAATTTCTGAGACGATATATATATTTGGAATCAACATCAAAACACTCAACAAAAATGACAAGAAGTTGACCTCTTTTGCATTTAACAATAAATTAAATTTGTTCAAATTGAATTTTCTCACTGTCATCTTTATTATACAACAAATTTTAACGCATTTCCACTGGACCAAAACCAATAGGCTGTGAAAACTAGACCTACAGTATAGTACATATAGAACAATCTGTACTTCCATTCCTCACAGCTCTGCTTTCATCAACATCAATTTGCTCTACTCTGCCTTCTGAGGTCTATTTACTTTGAAGATGTTTTTGCTTGGCAACATTACACGTGTTACCTCTCCATCTCTTTGCGATAGCGTTCTTCTTCCTCTGCAGTCTTCTGTGATACCTCCATCTTCCTCCTGCAAAATATTGCACATATGAACATTTTCATGCAGATTTAATGCAGGAATTTTAATTATCTGTCACCTTTTCATCAGATACTTATTTTTGTTTTAACCACAAGAGAACAGTACCCAATATTTTTATAATAAAAGGTACATTTTAAGAAATTATGCATCAATGTAAAGTAGCTTTATCTGCTTGTGTATGTTTTTTTTTCACTGACTGGCGCTCTTTCTCCTGCTGTTCTTTGATGACTTTGTTGGTCTCTAATGCCACTCTCTTCTGATGCATTAGCTCTTGTCTTTCAAGCTCACGACGAGCTTCAGCCGCCAGCCGCTCCTCATCCGTCATAAACAGCTCTCTTCCCTGAAACATACAGTAGACAAATCAATACTTTCACAGAAATATGTGCACAAATACACCCGTACAATCCATTATATCTTCTACAGATCTCAGATGTGAAGCAAAAAAGCTTATGTTGTGAAACTTCTTCATTATTACCATCTCTAAAGTGCAAAAGTACCATTTAAAGACAAACAAGAGGTTTACAGTACAATACAAACAACATCTCCACAACGTATTGCCTCATATACAGCTGGCAGTTAAAACAGCTCTATACTAAGCAAATGGTTTTCTTTTCCATACAGCCCCTCAAGGAGAGATAAAAGCATTGCGGTGGGTCTTTGAGATGTTCTGACGGCAGAAATGTATTAGTGGGCTCTCAGTGAACTTACAGCTCCAGTGAGGACAGTGATGGTTAGACTCCTGCTGCTCTTTAACACGCGCACTGCCTGAAAACACACACATTAGCCAACACGGTTACCAGTTTAAATATGCAGAGGTTCTTAATTCGCTGTTTGACATTTTCAGCAAGATCCTGCTCACTTCATGATGACTCAGGTTGGTGAAATCCACCCCATTGACCTCCACAATCTGGTCGCCAACCTACAACCACACACATAGTAGAGAGTTACTATGCTAAAATCAAACAGTAATGGTCTGTTAATGCAGTTCAATCTGGGACTTAAATGAAATGACCTGTAAGCCCACTTCAGCGGAGACTGAACCCGGCTTCACATTGCTCACATAGATGCCTGGTTTCTGTGTTGGTCCACTAGATATGCTATAATGGACAGTCAAAAGACATATTTAGGAATTCATTCTTTGTCACAAGATTAAGCTAATTAAAGTAGCTTTCAAAGTAGGCTTTTGTGAAGACACCAAAGAAACAACAGCATTTCAGTACAAAGACAAATGCAGTGTACTTAATATTTGGGGGCACAATTCCAGTAAATAAAGGTTTTTATTATAATTTTCAATGTAGTTAATCTGTGTGCTGTAGCCGTGTATATAGTTATAATAAACAAATCTCTCTCTTACCTGATTCCCATGCCTTTGGTGCCCACCAAACTAAGGAAAACTTTCTTTTCCTTGATTTCTTTCCCTCCAACCGAAGCCAAACCAGCCACACTAGTCTTTTTCTCCTGAAACAAAACAATAAAACAGGACTAAATAAAAAACAACTTGAGCTGCTTTAAAATAGGATGCCGCGAGGAGGAAACTCTTACCCCTGATTCAGACACAAACTGATCCACAAACTGCCACTTCAGAGGGTCTTCAGAGGAGCTGATTATGGCAAATGTATAATTTAGCAATATCATTATGGAAAGAGAGAACATTAATAAAAGCTATTCCACATATCAGAGAATACTGTATAAATTACTAACTAAATTACCTCTTGACAGGAATCATTCCCAAGTCTGTGAAGAGAGTGTCACAATGGCAATAATTAAAAAACATAAATAAATAATGAATAATTAATAATGAATATATTTAGCTAAGGGCAATCCCAATAATTAATTCTCTGAAGGAAGACACAGTTTCCTAATGAACTGCTCAACTGTGAATCAACTGTGATTAAATCGCTACAACTAAGAGCTAAATCGATTGATTAAGCCCAGTGGAATTAGAGGCAATTAATTTTTGCTCTAACTAATAAATTCAGCTCTGCAAATGACACAACTTGAGCTGCTTTAAAATAGGATGCCGCGAGGAGGAAACTCTTACCCCTGATTCAGACACAAACTGATCCACAAACTGCCACTTCAGAGGGTCTTCAGAGGAGCTGATTATGGCAAATGTATAATTTAGCAATATCATTATGGAAAGAGAGAACATTAATAAAAGCTATTCCACATATCAGAAAATACTGTATAATTACTAACTAAATTACCTCTTGACAGGAATCATTCCCAAGTCTGTGAAGAGAGTGTCACAATGGCAATAATTAAAAAACATAAATAAATAATGAATAATTAATAATGAATATATTTAGCTAAGGGCAATCCCAATAATTAATTCTCTGAAGGAAGACAGTTTCCTAATGAACTGCTCAACTGTGAATCAACTGTGATTAAATCGCTACAACTAAGAGCTAAATCGATTAATTAAGCCCAGTGGAATTAGAGGCAATTCATTTTTGCTCTAACTAATAAATTCAGCTCTGCAAATGACAATAGAAAACTGTAAAATCTTACGGCGGACTTTCAGAGACACAATCTTCTTGGTCTTAATGAGATTGATGACCTCCTCATGAATGCAGGAGGAGATGGAGTAGCCATTAATACGCACAATCTCATCGCCAACCTGAAGAAAACACAGCAAACCACATTCATATAAAATATGTAAAATATGTCATTTAACATTTTTATAAATATTTAGTACTAAAAATACCAATAACAATTTAATTATAGCCAGAATAGACACATTTTGCACTATAGAAACACAAGGGCTGCATTTGAATTCTTTGACTTTATCTGCAGGACAAACATTAATCATGAAGATTACAGTAATGGACAAGTAAAGTGTGTTTGGAATCAGAGGACGGCTTATTGCGCTACCTAGTGGAGAGAACATGCACTGGTCATGTTTTTTGTGCAGCCATTGTAAATTACTCTTTAATTCGAATGTTTAAAGGGGTCATATGATGCGATTTCAATTTTTCCTTTCTCTTTGGAGTGTTACAAGCTCTTGGTGCATAAAGAAATCTGTAAAGTTGCAAAGACTAAAGTCTCAAATCCAAAGAGATATTCTTTATAAAAGTTAAGAGTCAACCACGCCTACCTAAAACAGCTCGTTCTAACACGCCCCCACATGTCTACATCACTATGTGGGAAGATTTGCATAACGGCGCCCAAATGTTCACTCAAAGAAAGAAGGCGTAACTTTTATTCTCGCTGTAGTATTGTTGTTGCCACCGCCGCCATGTCGTGAAGATGCTGTGTGCTTCGTTGTGAAAGCGAAACTACTTTGTTTGGTCTTCCAAAAGAGGACGATATCTGCTTCGTCATGCCT